TGAATCACTATAAATCCCATTAAATCACTATAAAATCCCAGTAAATCACTATAAATCCCAGTAAATCACTTAGTTTACCAGGCCGGGTAACCATCTCCGTTGTCGATCCCATCCCCGCCGTGTCTTCGTCGTCTTCCAAGTTCTCCACCTGCTCTGTGGGCTCCGATCGGAACTCCGTCGGCTCGGCCGGCGACCAGCAGGGCCGTTGGGAAGTGGGGGGTTGGACCACACCCGTGGCCTGGAGCCGGTGCCGGTCTCAGTTCTGCTGGGTTAGTGCTCTCTATAAAACATTATAATACAGCATAGTAACTATAGAATATTATCTATATATATATATATATGTATATATATATATCTATCTACCATAAACTCTATAGTTATTGAAATTATAACTGTTATAACATGTCATAACTCCAATTTCACTAGATTTTATGGTAGATATAATATATCCATAATTACCGTGGTGTATCTATAAACCATGGATGAGACGAGAGGATTACTGGGGGGTGCGGGCCCCACTTAGTAAATGGGTTAAAAACTCCAGTTCTATACGGAATATCACCCCTTATATATGGGATGAACTATGGCTTATGTGTGGATTACCAACCACGGATCGATTCGTAGGATGCACATCCAATGATCCAGGGGTATAGTAACCCCCAAAAAGATAGAACATAGTAAAATATCGTAGACTGTTGTCAAAATAGTGGCAAATTACTTTTCTGTATTTTTAAGAATATGTAAGTAAATATTAGTATATGTATATATGTATATGATTATGTATATGTATATGTATATGTATGTATGTATATATGTATATGATTATGTATATGTATATGTATGTATGTATATATGTATATGTGTTGAGTAAGAGATCAAGTTCTTCAATATGTAGTTTCGTGAGTAAATGTATATAAGTGTAAATGAACATATATGTGAACGGAAAGTACATATTTGATCGCTTGAAATTTCATATACTTATGTGTATCGTATGTAAACATATGTAAGTACATGAGAAAAATGCATGTAATAAACGTAATATTTCATGAAATGGCTTAATATGGTATAAATGCAGTATTTCATGAAATTGAATAAGGTTGTAAAAAAAACACCTATTAGATAATGTGTATATATATATATATATCTATATATACGTACATATGTATGTAAATATATCCCTATGGATCCATGTACCAAGTACACACCTATATATATGATTATATGTATATATAGATCAAATGATTAGATTTTTGTAGATCTCTCAAAATAGTTGTGCATGGTGGGGAATCATTTTATGAATTTAAGTAAAGACAAATTCCTCGGATTCTTACAGGATGATACTTTCCAGTTAAGTTGGTTTAGATTCAGCCCATGAATACCATAGTCAACTAGTTCGTTATATCTACCATAAACCATACTTAAGTCACAAAAATATCTCAACTGAATGCTATCTGAAGGGGGCGACATCCTGTAGGTGAGGGCCTGTGGCCCAAATCGATAACGTTGACGCACAAAAAAAAATCGGTGAACGTTTGGGTTCATTAGGGGATATATATATATATATATCTATATATCTATATATCTATATATGTCTATATATATATATGTATATGTATGTATATATATATATATCTATCTCTATTTGTATATATATATATCTACATAGCTACATATAGTTGTATAATGGGGTGAATCATGGTGAATCCGCGATTGGGAGCCCAAAGCTGACGCCTCCAAGGGCAAGTCAGGCTCATCTAGCCATGCCTTCGCAAGGGCTGGCTTTTTGCTGGAACCTTTGTGGAAACCTCTGGTAATTGAAGAGTTTTCCATGGAAAATCACCACTTACGATGGGTAAATCATCTGTCAATTGGCGAGATTTGCATTTCCCCTCAAAGATTGCGGATCTGCCGCAGAAATATCTGTGACATCATTGATGGTTATTCAAGCATGAACACTGATGATGATTTCACCGACAAATGGTGTGATGCCACCAACAAAGGCTTAAGCATGGCGTTTATCAACAAAGCTGGGGATTTCATGTATAGCAACATCGAAACAAAAGTTGGAAATTGGAACTTTGGAAATAAAAAGGTATACACATATCATCTATCATACAATGTGAGGCCCCCAAGATAGCTTAGTGGGTTTATAACTCCAATAACTATGGTTTATGGTATTTATAACTATAGTTACTGGGGCTTATAAACCAACTTATATCTTGGGGGCCTCACATTGTACAGTTGTTTGGAGAAAAAAACACTTCTTGACCTAGAACTAGGGGGTCCCAACTAAAGCGAATCCACTGGACCCTGCACAATGCTTCTGTCAGCTTGGTAGTTTGAACTAATTCACTAACATCACTTGGGAACATCCAAAGTTTGAGTGCAACATAGAGACCAGTTTTCCATACCACTTTAATCTCTTACATACATCATATACACTTTGGTTGCAACAAGCCACCAAATCATTTTGGTTAGCCATATGGAAGTTTCCGAAAATGGGGGTACCCTTAGCTCTCATCCATTTTTGATTGGGATGTTCCATCCGAAATCATCCAGCTATTGGGCTAGCCCTATTTTGGGAAACCCCCATATCCTTTTCTGGGCTTACAGTTCCAAGTTAGGTCATCCCAGGCATTGAGTCCAAATCGGTGAACTCTTGGACTGAAATTTAGGCATGGAAAACCTTTGTTTTGGAGGGAAACCACTCCAAAAAACACCCAAAAACCTCGAAAGCCTCACCTTGCAACCCAGAAAAATTGCCCGTTTGTGACCCGTCACTGGCTGCATGGTGATTCAATGCTACTACACATCACTGGGATGCACCCAAAAGTGCTGCCAATGACCCGCTGGAACTTTACCTTCTGCCGAGGTTTAGATGACTTAAACATAGCCCTGGAGTTTACCCCAAGTCCTGCAACACCCCGAATGAAAGAAATGACTTCATAATGCATCTGTGAGTGGCAAGGGGTGTGCTCTAGAAGTCTGTTGAACATCTCGCGCATTTTCTTGGAACTGATCATTTTGGATCATCATAGTAGGTAGGCATTTTCATGACATGTAATTCTTACGATCCCCCCGCATTTGGGTACCCCATTTTATGGCCAAACGATGGGCAAGTGATGTGAGCCGCTAGATTTTGGGATATTTTTGGTATTATACCTTCTGCGCAAATCAACAGAATTTCTATGGGAACAGCTGCAGGGCAATGAAATTCCACATGCTATGAACGATTTTGATGCTCATTGGGGTACTCGGGTTTTCACTCAAGACTATATGGTTATGGTTATGGGTCAAGTCATACGGTAATGGTACCCCTTAAAATGGACGGTTAGTATTGGTTACCATAGGTTCATGTTAGGAGACCTCAGGAATAGCATGCAGTTCTATGTTATTTTTGGGGAGTGTAATACTTGAAGTGACCAAAAACATGTGGTCCCATATCCATCCCCATGCTAATCCCATGCCCCATTCACTTTTTGAACCACCCCCACACTATCCCACACTTCCATTCATGGTACAATATATATATATATATAAATGTGGTTCCATCACCGACAAAACCCATGGTTTCTGGGGGAACGTTGTTTTTTTTTAAAATATTAGGGCGAAGATGGAAGGGATTTTGATGATAAAACCCAATCATAACCACCATCCCATGAATTAGTCCATATTTCATCCCATAAGTGAGGATATTCCACATAAAATTGGGGGAATAACATGCTGGTTGGTGGTATACCTACCCCTCTGAAAATATGAAAGTCAGTTAGGATGATTATTCCCAATATATGGAAAAATAAAAAATGTTCCAAACCACCAACCAGCATGGAATATTTCATTTACTAAGTGGGGCCCACATCCCCAAGTACCATCTTCATTGACAGCTTTGCCCCCGCACCTCCAGCTTCGTAGCGCCCCCACTTGGAGCAGTGTGAAGGTCTCACACTGCCGCGTTGCCGCGTTGCTGTGGTGGCCCAATCTTGAAACTCAAAGGCAGTGCAAGTTGAAGCGTGTTTTTTCCAAATTTATGGATGATTCGTCAATGATTAGCCCTGAAAAAGGCAGAGAGCCATCTGTCAAATCAAAGTGTAACTGGAGATCTTGGGTGATATGGGCCCACTGAAAGATTGATAGTGCCGGCCCAAGTGTTCAACCAAGAATACCCATTCCTCTTGGAAATGCCAATAAATACCAACCCTAAAAACAATTTTAGTCGGGTCCCACCTTGGCATTGCACTGTCGTCCCCCCGAATGTGGTGGTCCATCATTGCAATGTGGGGTATCTCCAGTTGTAAGTTATCTGGCCATGGATCAAAATTAGGTACCCCAATAATTGGATGATCAATACTATGGTCCCCCAAGGTCTTTAATTTTGAGCCATGCCCAAAATGGATGGTTTACAAGGGAAAATACCATGAACATGAATTATGTAGGGGTACCCCAATCCGCCTCAGGCTTGTTGTATATGTCAAACTAGAATATATATATATATATTATACATCTGGGCAAAATATAATATTTCACTAACCTGAAATAAGGCTATCTTGGGGATGATTCCCCTTACTAACTATGATTATAGTGAGGTCGCAGTGAGGTCGCAACATAATTTACCCGTATACATGGTGGGTGAATATCCCACTATTTCATGTTGACAATCAAGAGTTGGGTATGCCTGGCTGCCAGTTGGGCGAACTCGAAGGGGATCCACCCTGAGTTTACCATGAAACCTGAAACATGGTGTGGATATAAATGATTGTTCCAGTTATATACTGGATATACTGGATATAGCACTTGTTTGGCTTCCATTTTGAACTTTAGGGGAGGTATTTTTTAACCAACAACCAGCGGTGCTGCTTAAACCTGGTTTGTGACCTGTCAACAAAAAACCGGTCACGCGTCTCGATCAACACTGACATCCACTTCCGCACATCGTTGTGATTCCTTTTCTTGTTGCTGGCTAGCCGGCTGCCTATGTACAGATCCCCCCTGGTTTTCTCGGCTCAAGCGGTGCGTTGCAGCAAATGAACACCGATCTCAGAGGAGACGAGATCGTGAACCTGCCGGGACTTCGATGATCGCCTCTGGTACATGAAGAGTTTGCTATTGAAAATGATCATTCCGTTTGTTCAAAATTCCGTGATTGACCTATCCAAAATGATGATGTTCCATACTTATGTTAATTGAACAGTGGGTAGCTCATGAAAACATGAATTGTTCATAGAGTTTCGTAGGGATTTCCCAGTCTAAACTTGTGACTCTAAGCTTTCTGTTTCCATAAGTAAAATTCTCCAAACATGCGAGGGGAATTTTCGGGCAGCGTTTTTTCTTTTTTTTCTGGGGATTACATTATTACATATCCCAAATGTATATATTACATTACATTAGATATTGTTATTCCTTCAAGAAAGATAGCAATAAACAAGCTGATTTCATCTACTCTTCTCAGTTGGTTGAAAAAATAAACAAGTCTAGGCAATGCACATGTCTCACAGTGCAACGCTGTGGTTCCGATATAAACCGTGGTTCATCATCAATCAAACATACACCGTTTTTCACTAGTCCTCAGAACCTTGGTTCCATCACTTGTGCTTTACCCTCTGGTTATTTAACATAGCCATGGAAAATGGCACATTTATAGATGGTTTAGCTATTAAACATGGTGATTTTCCATGGCTATGTTAAATAACCAGAGGGTAAAACATTTTGAAACGACACACCCTCTGGTAATTTCGCGCTATGGAACAAGCTATGGAACATGGCCAATTTATAGGTGATTTACATTAAACATCGGGTGATTTTCAAGAGCTATGGCACAAATAACCATACTACATGAGTTTCCCATAGAAAATTATTGGGGGATGGTGAAAAATTCCAATGAAATCATCATCTTTTCCATGCAATTTGAGTTGTTTTCTGCCTGGTTACTTGGTCGAAGCGGACTAATATGTCAGTAGCAGCCAGTAAAATATGTGGTATCACCCACTTTTGCACAATGAAGCAACTAGCATTCTGGTGAATTTCCCCTATATATATATATATACGGAGGTTTCCTGAAATGGTGGTACCCCTAAATCATCCATTTTAATAGGATTTTCCATTGTAAACCAACCATTTTGGGGATCCCCATGTATGGAACCCCCCATATATATACCATGTTGGGAGTCAGACCAGGCCTGAACTACATGATGGGAGTAACCCTCGCAGACACCCGTTTTACCATTTTTTACCACTTGCCTCGCCATTCTTTGTGGTCAAACCACGCAATTAGAACATGTGGATCTCCCCATTCTCAGTGGTTAAGACCAATCTTTTTGGTGTTGAAATTTTGACTTTGTGATATCTCCCATGTGCCGTGGTCGATGAAATACAGTTTATGGTCATCCCCTTGTCATGAATGGGATTCCTTACAGTGCCATTTTTAGATACCCTGTAAAAATAAATTCTTAGCTGGTGAACGTAGATAATCCAATTGATACCAAAAGACTAGTTTGGATTAGTAACTCAGCTTATAATGGGCATATAAATCCCTATGAACATGGATTGATGAACATCCTCCAATCTGGCTTGATCTCCTAATCCTTTCACCTCTGTGGATGGTTGCGATTTTTTTCGCAACCGCAACGGTAACTATGAACTATGACACATCGGGATTATAATGGGGCTATTTTTTGGGACAAAATATGGTAAACTATGATAATATCTAAAATGATATCAACTATGGCTACTTTTGGGATAAACTATGATAAACTGCCCATTGATTTTGTTTCTTTCCACCCAGAAATTTATGGTGATGTGGGGGATGTGCTAAATGACACTACCAGACTTTCCGGTTTCTTGGCTTGGCGAATGTCCCACTTGAGGATGTTGTTTAAAGCCAACAATAACCAAACCCTGAGTTTTACAAGCCCTAAAGTGCTTCAAAATAGCTAGAGGATGATGGACCTTCATTTCTTCATTCCCAAATTGACCAACCCCAGTTCTTTCGTCGGAACGCCTCGCCCACAGCCAGTTCGAATGCCGCTTTCAGCACCGCCGCTGGCACTTGTGGACGAACACCTGGCCCAGATGATCCAGATGCTCCATGGTGCTGGAATATTTGCCAACATCATTGCCAATCTTAGATACCCTGCAAACTTGCTGCTTAGTAGATATTCCCATTGATACCAAAAGACTAAAGGATTTAAGTATCCATCTAAGATTGACCTAGACCTAGACATCAAAATCATCAACATCTCCCAAATGTACGTAAATATAGCAGCACTATGGAGCATATGGGATAGGACCCGATAACAAACATAGCCAGGATGGAATCTGATTCAGAAAATTGTTTTAAGTGGTTTTTGGCCAACAAGAAGCAGAGCTTAAATCAGTTTAACAAACGTATGGGATATACAGACAACAAACTAACATATGGTAGGATATGGTAGGATAAAACATATAAATGACTTTAAAAATCATAGGATAAACAATGCTAATCATATGATCAATAAAACCAGGGATCTAGCCACTATGAACCACGAAAGGATGGGGATAAACGATTCAGAACCAAGGAAAACTGTCTGTAAATGGAAATTTTTCTTTGCTATGTTTGGTTACCGGAGGGTATCCTCTGGTAATTTAACGTAGCTATTGAAAATGGCCATTTAGTTCGTTGATTTACCCATGAATAATGATGATTTTTCATGGCTATGTTAGTTTACCAGAGGGTACTATGACTTTTCCAGGTATATCCCCCCCTTTGGTAGATATATGCGTTTGTCTGAGAATAGGGTATCCCAAACTCCAATCGATTATCATTTTCACTGTCAGTATGGTTATTTGTGGGTATACCATATTTTCCGACAACCCACATATCATATTTGTTGGTTACATATCCCAGCATATCAACATTATGGTTGGTTATATAAAATTCTTGATTTTTGTTGGTTAAATACATGGTTAACAATTCATAACCAACATCTATCCCATATGATGAACGGAGACCCAACTTTGATATGGTTGGTCATATATCCCACTATATCCGATAATATGACTAGTACTAGATTTATATACAAGTTTTATACAATTATATTATATCTAATTATCCACTTGTACTTGTAATTATTCAATCCCAAGTCTTGGTCGTTAAATAGCTGACCATTATAATCCATCATTCATCCTATTCTTGATAGATTCCATAATATCCAAAATCATTCACATTACATATCCCCATGATACCCCCGCAACAACGGTTGGATCTATAGCCGCATGCACCCCATCATGATTGTTTGTTATATCCCATTATATCCCCATCCAAATCTTATGAATTTGCAAATAGTTTCCCTGTATTTCTCCATGAACTATCACCAATGATAGATGATATCACCTCCCATTCCATCCCCCATATCACCATGATTTGTTGGATTAAATATTGCATTAAATTCCCCAAGATGGGATACATTTATATGAATTGCCAATCAATTCCTTGCCTAAATCATCATATGGGGGTTTTCCATAGCTGTGTTAGTTTACTCCAGGGTAGATCATCTTCCCAATTTATCACTATTGAACCCCACTAAGCACCCATTACATATCCATCATTTTTCCATAATTGTTCATCCATAGAAGATCACAAGCTGATGGATAATCCATCTTATGGGATATGTAATGGTATCACTTTTCCCATAGATTATTCACTTTTCCATTAATATCGCAGCATTGCTTTGCAATTCACAAGATGATCATCCAAGGAGCAGGGAGTACTGGAATTTTCATCTGGACTTAGCACCCTGTGTATCCCGGCAAATGGGTAGTAACCATATCATGACCACGTTATATATGACATATCAGAATATGCATATATGATATGTTATATCCATATAGTGTATATAATGTCTATATATATAGATATACATACATGTGTATATATATAGATATACATACATGTGTATATATATACATGTATATCATATATTCGTACAGTGTATATATATATAACAATGGCATACACTGTAGTAATTGATCTTAGAAATATCCAAGAATTATTCATTGCTTACCGCAAATCAGAGCCCACCTTTCTTGGTTCTTCTCACATTTTAAGTCTGCTAATCCTCTCATGCTTTTGCTGCGAGCTAATCGTCATTTCGATGGTTTGGACTCCGAGCTCTTTTAGCAAATTGTTATCTGTTTGTGCTGAAAGATCCATTTACATCCCAAATGACATCCATCTACATCCCCATATTTTTTTTTCCAAATCACCTTTCAAAACTCCCATTTTTTGTGCTTGAAATCATCTTCATCCTGCCTTGTTTGGCTTTATCTTGCTGAATGCCAACACCTGCCGATTTAAAACACCGGAAAAAACGTCGGAAAAAGGTGCTTTTTTGAAGGTTCGTCCCAGCGAATGGGCGGCTCTCCAAATGGATCCATGACCAAGTTGGGACCATCCAATGGTCTTTTGTTTAGGGCTGGTTGGTAAAATGGTGATTAATGGTGATTTAATGATGGTTAATAATGGATCTGGTTGGTGGTATACCTACCCCTCTGAAAAATATGAATTCGTCAATGGGAAGGATGACATCTCATATATGAAATGGAAAATAAAAAATATTTGAAACCACCAACCAGAGGGGGATAGGAGTCCAAAGCCATGTTTTGATTCTGCACATTCAAGAAGTAAAGGGTCTACAGAAAATCTACATGGTAACTGATAATATGCTATCGGATATCACCAATTTGGCAAGTTGGAACTGATCCGAAATAGATCCTCTGATAATCAAACGTGGCAATGAAAAATCGATAATCTATAGCCGATTTTCCCATTAAAACCTCCATTGATAGGGGATGTCCAATTGCCATGTTTGATTACTAGAGGGTAATCACTGTCCAAACTATCCCATGACCCGGTCGCACGATTTCCATGCCTCCAACAAAATCAAGCAGCTAGTTCAATCAAGAAGCACAATCAACAGCTGGTTGGTGGTATACCTAGCCCTTTGAAAAATGATGGAGCTCGGCAGTTGGGGTTACTATTCCCAACATCTGGAAAATAAAATCCATGTTCCAAACCACCAACCAGAACAATGATGGCCAGATTTCGCAATAAGCCGTCTCAACAATGGTTCAATGACAATTTCAGGTACCCAAATTGGAAGTACCTACCACACAAAAAGGTTCTGTAAGGGCTATGTAAGGGGATTTACCCCGAACAAACACTGACTTTATATGGTACAGTAAGTACCTCTATTTTAGGGTCCTGAAATTCCCATTGAATTGGTTTTGGTCGCTGGGTTTGTCTTAACATAGGGTACGTCCAAACTTGACGGTTGATCACCATTCTCCCCCCTGCATTTCATGGCAATTCAGGGGTATGCCACATTTTCAAACAAACCCAAGTTTCATATTTTTCTGTTACAGATCCCACTATATTCCCATTGTGGTTGGTTAGAAATCCTTACAATTGTTGGTTAAATACATGGTTAACAATTTATAACCAACATTTATCCCATATGATGGAGATCAACCTTTCATATTGGTGGTCATATGTCACACTATATCTGATAATAGTATTAGATTTATACCAGTGTTAAATAGTTATGTCCAATTAGCCACTTGCAATTCTAATACTTATATATAATATAAATATATATATATATATACGTATATTAAATCCCAACTTTTGGTTGTTAAATAACTTACTGACCGTTATTATCAGCAATCTATCCCGTTCTCAATATATTCCATAATATCCAAAATCATTCACATTACATATCCCCATGATACCCCACAAAAATGGTTGGATCTATAGCCGCAAGTCACTGTCCCCCAGCATGATTGTTACAGTAGTTATAGTTATATCCCATTATATCCCCATCCAAATCCTATGAATTTATTTGCAAATAGTTTCCCTGTATTTCTCCATGAAATATCATCAATGATCGATGATATCAGCACTTTCCCAGTTCATCCCCCATATCACCATGATTTGTTGGATTAAATATTGCTTTGAATTCCCCAAGATGGGATAATTTCATGTGAATTCCCAATCAATTCCTTGAATAAATTGAATGAATCATCATACTGTGGCCGGTTGCAACATCCTGCAACAGTTGGTAGATGATTTACCCCATTATAACCCCATAAAAAATACAGCGTTTCATAGGATTCCATTTGCTACCAATTGGTGCGGGATTTCGCAACCGTCCGCAGTATGTGTTGGACTCAATATTATATATCAAATCCCCCTAAAAAGCTAACTTCATGTAAATTCCCAATCAATTCTGAGATCATCATATGGAGGTTTTCCAAATTCATGGGGGTACCTACAAATCATCCAGTTGTCGGCGTGGAAACATCCGCCCATCTGCCCTCTTTGCCAAGAGCTGGCCAGGGGTCGAGCGTGAGGGACCGCATCTTCAAGAGCCGTGATCCTACCCTCTGGTAATGACTTGGCTATTGAAAATGGCCCAATTATAAGGATTTACCCATTGAAAATGGTGATTTTCCATAGTTATGTTAGTTTACCAAAGGGTATATTCCAGGTTGGAAATGACAGTAGATTGCATCCCAATCAACCGGTGGTACTGATCCAGTGCACGGAAAACACTTTTATGAAGTGGGCATACACACCACAGGTAAAATGGTGATTTGCCATAGCAAACTCTTAGTTTACTAGAGCATTGCCACCATGGTGACTTGCAAAAAAGCAATGTTTGTGTAGCTGCCCCGCCTTTCACTCGATCCAGCCATCCCATATCGCCCGCCAAGTCGCTCCCCTTTAGGGCGCTTGGACATTGCGACACAGAGCGGCACACCTTCCTGGGGCCATGGCGTTTCCCACGTTTCGTCAGTGGATAATAACAATGTGAAATACCCCTGCATAGCCCTAGTCATATTGGGTTGTAAACCACTTACAAACTGAAATGCACATCCAAGTCCAAGTAGTTATTTAACTCCGAGTTCATGACTTCCTAATATGGAATACCACCTAAGAATCTTGTTTCTGTAGATCCAATGCTTGTTTTGGATGGGCTTTCTTACTCAATTAGAGGATATTTAGTCCCAACTGCAACATGTATAATGTTGGTAAGTCATTTAAAACATCATGTTTGTTTTACATGTTGACATAGCCTCCGTTTATGAAACGTGGCAATGCAAAAATCCCACATTCATAGATGAACATTTTCCCAATGAAAGACCTCCACTTTGATTGGGGGTGTTCCATTGCCACGTTTGATTTGCCAAGGGGTAAACTGGTACACAAACGGTTGATTTTAGGGGTTCTGTACCCTCCGGTAAACTAACATAGCTATGGAAAATGCCCATTTATAGTGGATATACCCATTGAAAATGGTGATTTTCCATAGTTATGTTAGTTTACCTGAAAATGGTGATTTTCCATAGTTATGTTAGTTTATCAGAGGGTATATAGAAACGTTGGTGTTTTAGGTCACACGTCTTGCTGAATTTTCATCTTCAACAGTCGGAAATCATCGGGAGCTTCACTCAGAAAATCAAAGCACCCCCCAAAATGTCCCGAAAAAACAAGGGGATTATGAGACTACCCTCTGGTAATCAAACATGGCAATTGAAGATCTTTTATTGATAGAGGTTTGAACGGGACCACTTAAGTATATTTGTATGTTTCAAGGATTTTCTACTTCCATGAGAATGGGAGGTTTTGACAACTAGCAACATCTATTTCCATTCGGATCAACACCTCAAATTTCTCTTCGGGATCAGTGCCAGCCACTTCCCCAGTCAATGGGCTTGATGCGCTAAAGAAAATTGGCCCTAGGGCCATAGCATAGTTTTCAGACACAAAATCCTGTTGCATCTGTTACCCTGTGACAGCCACACAATTCTGTGACAGCTGTGACAAAATATTCCAAAATCCATAACTTCAGCTGAGGCACTGAAAACTCTTCATACCATCCGCTTCCAGATTCTGCAGAATTTCCAGCATTTCTCTCTCAGCCTCTTCTTGAGTTCGCTTCACCTGCCGTGCCCCATACATGTCGCTCATCGATGGGCCCACGGTAAAACACATTGATTTTTGAACTGGTTAGTCTATTCCTCCCTTTATGGCTCAACAACAACTGAGGTACTCAAACAAACTTTGATCAGTGGGATAGTTACATGAACTGGTTGACCGGGGTAAGAAGTTTGTTGATCATAAGCCTTGCATAGTGTGGAAAAGAATTGACTTCAACGCAGATTGCTGACTTTCCAGAAATACCATGAAATTCTCCATTGAGTTCTGCATCAACCTTGAGTTGGTTCAATCCTCCATTTCTTGCAAATCCTTCAAGTCGTAAACGGGTAGTCGCCTCACCTAAGATCCTGCGACTGGTATGACTTTGAATGGTAAGACCGTTGACAGACATTCCAGGTATAACATCAGGTTTTGTCGAAAATCGGCAGTTGGATGGTATTTACCAAGTTTGATGAAGGTATATTTCTCCTGGTTGGCGGTTTGAACCCCTCTGAAAAATACTAGTCAAATGGGAGTATTATTCCCATATATATGGAAAAGCGAGGGAATCCAAACCACCAACCAGAATCTCTATTGTCCGCCAAAAAATAAGCTATTGAATAGTATTTAGCTACCATTTCGATCCATGTTTGACAAAAAACAACATTATCCCAACTATATCCCAAACAATTCCCCATCAATCCCTATAGTTCCTTATAATTCCATGAGTATCCCCATCAATTCCCACGAAAATCATATAAATCCCTACAATTCCACATAAATCCCTGTGAAAATCATTACTTTTTTTCTGGTTCACCACGGTTTTTTTCCGCCGTCCCCGGGTCCCCCAGGTCCATCGCCTGGCTTCGGCGAATGGGATCCATGACTGGGGGTCCAGCCGCGGCCACTCGCAGCAGAATCTGCCGCAGGCGCACCTGGGAAAAGCAAAAAAAAGGCGGCGAAGTATTGAATCAATTTTTGTTTTGACATTACATTATTGTGATAATATGAACTGATTTATGTTATAATAATATTAATATTACAATTAATTAATAATTAAATGTATGATTGAAACATCATAATCCGTTATTATTCTAAATTATTCTGATGATTAATGGCGTTTCAATACTATATATCCATACTTTATGATATGATGATGGATTATGATGATGGATATGATAGACAATTTTGTCGATATATAGTATTTAATCATCATTAATTATTATTAGTTATTTTCTACATAGTCATCATTATTAACAACTGGGAATCATCATCTAGTTAGTAAGTTAGTAAGCGATACATATACGTATATATATATGGTCATCTTTAATCATTAGTCAAAAATTATGGTCATCATTAATCATCAGAATAACTTATAATGACAGATCACAACATATATGATATTCCCAGTTATTTATATAAAAATTAATCATCATTAATCATCATAATAGTGCATCATATCCGTCATCCAAAAAACTATCGGTCATTAATCTCAGGCTAATTTCAAATGTATATATATATATAGATATTACCCTCTGGTAAATTAACATAGACCCTGGCAGATAGGGATTGGAAGATTAGTTTCCATTAAAGCTAGGCTATTTTCAGGGTCAACAAGTTAATTTACCAGAGGGTAAACGGTAATCCATTAACTATATACAGTATCTATTGATCATCCATGAATCCCATCAGAAAAAAAAATTAAAAACGGAAACGATCTATGGGCATCCCCCGGCCCGTGGGCTTGTGGGGCTCCTGGAGCCATATGAAATACCACCCAAAAAACGGGAAATATCCATAGAAGGAAAGAACAACGGAAATATCATGGTAAGATCCGCATGATATTTTCCATATGACATAGCCATGGAAAGAAAATACAGCTAATCTCGTGGAATAATACCAATCTTTTACTAGAAAATGCAATATAGTATATATATATAGCATATTCCAAGTTATATAAGGGTTATGTGCACTTACTAACTGAAAGAAGTTGGGGGCAAAGAACTCCAATTTCACGAATGGGTGGATAACCATACTTAGGGTTTATATCATGCCTTTACCAAAAACTATGGATTATGGATGATTTATGGTTTATGGTTTATGGTAGATATATGGTAGATATATCCAGAATAGGGTTTTTGAAACCACGAAGAATTACCAGCGTTGATGAATCCGGGATAGCACATACAACGAACGAGTTGCAGGGGATTAGACAGCAACTTAAAACTGCGCGGCACGGATCGCTGGTGAACAAAACTCGCTAACTGGAAGCTAGGGGGATTCATATTCCCGTTGTTTAACTGGGAGCCAGTTAGGTCTATGAATTGATGTTACCCAACCAAAATTAGAATAAATGGAATGTTGCTGGAAAACATATCCATTAGTCCAGGTATAACTTAAAATTATCCCGGCAAGAGACCCCAAACAGTGTGGGGGGAGCGGGAGGATAATGTAGGATAATGTTGAGAATGAAGAAGAAGAAGATGATGATGATGAAGATGACAATGCGGAAGGTGAAGTGGAGGATGAGAAGGTGGAGGATGATGATGTAGAAAAGGAGGAGGATGATGATGTTGAGGATGAAACATGATAATGATGATGATGGTGGTGCTGGTGAGGATGATGATGATGATGATGGTGGTGATGATGATGATGACGATGATGATGGTGGTGGTGGTGGTGATGATGAGATGATGATGATGATGATGATGGTGATGGTGAAGAAGAAGAATATGATGATGATGGTGGTGATGAAGAAGAAGATGATGATGATTATGGTGATGAAGAAGGAGAAGAAGAAGAAGAAGATGATGATGATGATGATGATGATGAAGCGGCGACCCAAAAAGCCAGGACCACACTTTGTGCGAGCCTGCGCAATCGAAATGCATGTCAACATGTGACAAGAGACATCAGAAGAGCCACTGTATACGGACATTGACAGGAAGAATCTCGCGGCCCAGATTGAGCCCAGAACGCAGACACACACTTTGTGCGAGCCTGAGCAATCAAAATGCATGTCAACATTTCACAAGAGACATCAGAAGAGCCGCTGTATACGGACATTGACTGGAAAAATGCCGCGGCCCAGATTGAGCCCAGAATGCAGGCACACACACTTTGTGCGAGCCTGCGCGGTCGCAACGCATGTCAATATTTCACAAGAGACATCAGAAGAGCCACTTTATCGAAGGAGGTTTAGAAGTCAAACTTTCGACAATATGGACAGATGGAAAAGCAGAGGTGGGAAGGGGCAGAGAAGAGAAGAGAAGAAGAAAGAAGATCAGAAGAGAAAGAGTCAGAAGAAAGAAGATGCAGGCGCGCGAAAAGGTAGAAAAGTCGCGAAACACTGCGTTTTTCTAATGATTTGTGGCTCTGGCGGGTCGGAAAGTAGGCTTGCTAAAGCGGCGGGTGCGGAGCCAGCTGGCCAGATGAAAGCTGAAAAATTGCACGCAGTTGTGGCGCGAAGCACATTTCGAAGTCTCCAACTCACCATCAGTCTATAGGTGAACGAAATCTGAGCTCTCTGTGTGAGTCCAGATACAAAGCTCGCACGTGTTTTTGTGTCAACCAAAGTTCTTGGGTCTCGAAACAAACCCATGCTGGGGCACTCTCCGAGGCAATCAGAGGCTTCTGCAATTCTGAGTAGACTTTCTCGGGGAAGGCGCGTTCATACACCATTGCGAACCTTTTCAGGTCCAGACCTTTGGAACCCAAGAGGGGCTCTTGGCACCGTGGATTGAAGACACTTTGGTTGCTAAAATAGCCTAATGACTTGGATCAATCATTGGGCACCCGTATTTTAGGCAACCACCATGTTGTAATATGGGTATGGGTCAAACTTGGGTACCCCAATCATTGGATGGTTAGTACTGAAAATGGACTAAGCCATCTGTGGTCCCCCAGGTCTTTAGATGTCTTTAGGCGCCTGGTCGGCTTTGCCCGAGCCGGAACTCGCAGAAGTTCCAGCCGCAAAAATGGGGCTGGAAGATACCTGGCCCATGGGTTTCCAGCATGCTTTACTGGAAAGCAACCCCAAAATAGATAGAAAAGTTGGAAATTGTAATGAAGGAAATATACTACTTGGTGGCTTATCCCACTTAGTAAATGGGTTATAATGCCAGTTGTAAATGGGACAAGTAGGGTTAATCCACTTATAACTGGAGTTTTTTCACTTACGATTCGTGGGATGAGCCACCAAGTAACATCCTGGAAACACTGGCATCTTGTTAGCCAAATTTCACAACATAGGCATGGGGATCGAAGATTTCCCGAAAACAAGTGGTGGAAACATATCATTGAAGTTGCCTCTGCTTGACGGGTGATGTGCACTGACAACTTGGGATTGGAGGCAAGGATACAAACATAAGCAATCAAATATAGGATTTCACCAGCAAAAGGAAGGATAACCAGGCTGAAAATAGGAAGGTTATAAGGGAATGACATGGTTTCAACAACGAAAGAGGGGGATAGATAGTCACCGAGAATCATGTGACTTCGATTCTCCGAAATCCATTGGTCTACAACGTTTTAAAACTCAAATTGCCCTAGGCTGAACGCGAAGCCAGTCCCGAAGTCATCCCTAAACCGGGTTGAGGATGGTGGTTTCCAGAGTGGCTCGGAATAATAACTGCTACTATCATGCAAGGTGAGGCCGCCTAGATAGCTAAGTCGACCTATACATTGATTAACCATTGGTTAAGCCTGTTATAAATACACCCTTGTTAAAAACAGCTATTTAAAAATCGCTCATACACTTTTTTCATAGTTGTGTTCACCAACTTAGCTAACAATCTCTGGTTATAACATGTTAACTCTGATAGATATAGTTACAACTATTGTAACTGTTATAACTATTATAGCTACTACTGAATGAATAAACCTATACTGGGTTATAACTTCCTGTAACTTCTATCATCGCCGGCTGCCACACCTTCAACCGCTTGGCGGCTGGAGCTTCACTGGACCTGAGACGGATGGCCATAGAGAAATCCATGGTTAAAAGGAAGGGTTAATTAATGGTCAAAAACGGTTCATAATTGTGGTTAATAATTGTTGGTGATTGTTAATAATTGTTAATGGTGGTTAATAGTGAGTAATAGTGGTTAATAGTGGTTAATAATTGTTAATCATTGTTGACCAATGATGAATAATGATTAGTGAATGGTTGATTAACGCTAAATAAATGGTTAATTAATGGTTAATTAACGCTAATTAAATGGTTAATTAATGGTTCATTAACGGCTAAGTAATGGTCAATTAATGGTTAATAATCGTTAAAAGTTGCTAACAATGGTTGATAATGTAGAATAACGATCAATCGATGCTAATAGTGGTTAATCATGGTTAATAATGGTTACTAGTGGTTCATGAGCGCTATAAACCACTGTATAAAAACACCTAAATGACTATACCAAAGGGGCTGCAGTTGAGATTACAAGATGCTGTAAGCACAAGATTTTGAGCCCCAAAAGTTGGGAAATGGAGCCGCTGCCCCCAAGAAACTATGGTGAAATCTGTTGTTTTTCACTTAGAATGGAGATACATCATGGGCCAAAAGCGTAATTCAATGTTAATACACCTTCACTTGATGATTTGGAGGTGCCTTCATTTTTGAAAACTTTCATGGTCTCTTTGTTTTGTTCCTTTCCCAGGTTATGGGGTTGACAACTTACTAGCCGAAATGCGCATCCAAGTAGCCCTGTTTGTATGTCCTCCTTGGGCCCTTCTATTCCGTTTGTTATAAACCAACTTCGCATAGCAAGGATGTCCCACCCATTCCCACTGGGTTGGAAGCACGTTGATACGGCATCGCTTGAAAGCAGCCGCGCACAGGCGACGGCCAAAGGCTCATGGTGAGGCACGTCACGCAAGGATTTCAAGAAGGAGATGGAACCTGCGGTGGCTGAACGTGGCTGAACCATGAAAAAAGAGGCTTTGAGCATCAAAGAGGTGGCTTCAACACGGTTCAACCATCGACAATGATGTTTGAACGGTAAAATTTTTGTGGATGTTTGATTAGTCAATGGATTGATGTCAGAAATCATTTTTGGGAGACCCTGATTGTTGCATCTTTTCAAAGTACCCATCAACCACGCTATGGGATATTCGGTGTATTGATTTCAAGGAACATGTGGGGGAAGTTATGGTTTTACCGTTTAACCTTGGGGTGTCCTGTAAATTTTATCACCAAAATCTGTCATGGTTTCTAGTTGGGCATATATGTATCTGTAAGTATATGTCTCATGCATGCATGTATATAAGTACGTTTCTCCATAAACAGAGAAGAGGTATCGTGCGAATAGGGGTTTCCTAAAATGGAGCTACCACCAAATCATCCATTTTGAAGTAGTTCGTATGAATTCTAAAAACATAGCTATGTTGAATATAACCAAAGGGTATGTAAACATATATCGAATATGATGTGGTAAACCCAACAATAAAGGGTATGTTCCGGTCCATCCGGCCCTTCCGGCCCAAGGGCCCGCCGCCTGTGCGCGGCCAGCCCTTGCCGAGTTCTGGGGCCAAGATCTTCTCAAAGTTCTCGTCCAAAGATGTTGCCCTGAAAGAATCGCCGGCGTTTGGGCGGCAACAAGGTACTGATGAATATATGGCTATAGTAAATGATAACTATAATATGTATATACAATATATATATATATGTTCATGTATATATATATATACATAGATATGTACACATATACATGTATATGGATATTTACATGTATATGAATGTGTATATGTATATGTAGGTATATGTATATGTTCATGTATATCTATATTGTAGATACAATAAGTATGATAGATAAATAAATACGGTGTGTATAAATATATATGTATAGATGTATATAGAATTACACACACACACACATATATATACATATCTGGCGGAGTTGTAGGAAATTCACTCAATGATGGCCTCACATCTTGTCATTCCGGCCCGCCAGTTCGGGATGATTCCCTGCAAGCGAACCATTATTCTAGTGATGTTATACTGAGGTCATTGTAATTCATGCATATATATATATATGCTTACGCGCAAACGCATATCATGGATACAGGTTCTTTATGAATGCTTCCTGTTCTGAGTTATGAGATCTGATATATATGCACATCTTTCAACTACATACATTATATATGTATAGTATATGATATAATCTTATACATTGTGCATAAAATCATATCTATATATATATATGACAACCATGAAATATCTTTCATGCACATTTAAACATCATGATATGTGTTTTTTTATCACAGCTATGGTTTATAACATCCCACTTATCATGCTCGTGGTCGTCAACCAAAGTTGGAACCTTGGTCATAGAATGAACCGACTGCGGGAGCGGTCACCATAGGCTCAGAAACTGAAGCAAAAGTCGGAGATCTCCAAAACCGACGACAAAATGGGAAATTATGAGAAACAATCGGATTTTGGATTGCCCATGATTATCCTATTTTTCAAAGAGACCCTTAGTGATGATTCAACCAGAACGTGGAAACCAGATCAAACCAAACCAAGGTTTACTTAGTTAACCTATATTGACATACATTCTCAAATTTGATCCATACCAACTAATGTGAGAATTCATATTATTTTGGAATGCTGATCAAAATCAACATGCTTTACTCAGTTAATCCATATCCGCCAATGTTAATTCATATTAATCCATGTTAGTTCCACCTCCGGCGGAAAGTCACCAAGTGACGGTCCCCCCACGCTAGCGGCTGCATACAGGGCATCGCCCTCTCCCCTCGGAAGTTGCTGCGTGGCGTGGAACCAATTGGTGGCGAAGGACCCAGCAGTTCAAGTGGGGGACTTGTCACCCCAGTTAGTTCCGTTCAGTTTTTTTTGGTTATATCATCCACTGGCGATTCCTGGATTGATTAGGAGACACAATTTACACAAGTAGCCCCTGGTGATCTGGAAATTTCATTGTATTTTTGTCATGAAAAATCTACGTCCAAATCATTTTATCACAAAAGCTTTGACTTGCCATCTTTGATTTTAGCTATGAGTCAAACCCCGTGGGAGCCTAGTACACTAAAATAGCTGGTTAGTGGATGTTTATTCCCCCAAATATGGTAATTTCATAGGTTTGACCCATTCTCATTTGTTGAAAATTAAAGGTGCCTGGCAAATGTGAGGTCTGTGTCAAACTCCAAAAAAACGCACAATGCGTCCACTTCGGATACTTCCCATTGGTCTCTGATATAGCGGGAAAGGGGAGAATTGCACAGGATGGGGCCCCCAAGATAGCGTTCAGCTGCCTTGTAAGTGGCTGAATTCTATGGTTTACTATAATCTATAGTTCATGGGGTTTATAAATCAACGTTCACATCACTGGGGGGCCCATCCTGGACCTGACATCTGCTAGATATCCTGAAGATGATAGGCATTGCAGTATACGTACAACGTTGGATGTGTTGTTTGACATGTTTACAGTACCCTCGGGTTATTTAACATAGCCATGGAAAATGGCCCATGTATAGATGGTTTACCTATTAAAAAAAGGTGATTTTCCATGGCTATGCTAAATAACCAGATGGTAAATACCAAAACAATAGTCAGATGATGGTGAGATGTTCACATTTACCAAACATTGAGTCAGAAGCAGCGAATTCACTGGAATATGCGACACATGCACATGTATCGACCAACAATAATATACACATTTATATCGCTATATACATGAACACACATGGTGATGTGTCGAAACTAGTGACATGCAGCCATAGGAATTGAGGTGAAATGCGGATGTGAACGCGCAGAAACGAGGAGATGCGCAATCAGCAAGTAGAAATTTGCCAACACATGTAAACACATGTAGAGCAATGTAGTCACAAGCAAACAACAACAACGACGACGACAACAGCAACAGCAACAGCAACAGCACCACCACCACCAACAATAACAACAACGACGACGTCAACAACAACAACAACAACAACAGCAACAACAACAACAGCAACAACAACAACAACAACCACAACAACCACAACAACCACAACAACCACAACAACCACAACAACCACAACCACCACAAAGTCAGCAACAGCATTCAGGAATGATGTGTTACGGGGAGATGCCATAATTAGAAGACTTCCTGACTTGGATATTTCATTCTGACATTCAGTCACCATAACTGAAACATACGCAACATGTTGATACAATTTCCTGTAAGCATTGCAATGTCACGGATGCCGCCTTCTCGTATTGAGTTTACTCGTTTTATTAAGCAATGGTTAGCTGGCGCCAGTTCAACAGATCTACCATAAACCAAAAAAAAACACCAAGCGAACTGTGCGAATTCACTTAGCCCAGGAACTGGGGCACCACCTTTTGAGCATCAAACATATGAATATCTACAACATTCTATAACCTACAATGTGGCCCCCCCCAGTGACGGGAATGTTGGTTTTAACATGTTTTAACAAACCCCATGAATGTTATAAAATCAAGTTTCATAGTAAATATAAATATATCAATGGAATTTATCGCTGCTCGGGCCCACACCCAGCTGCGACGTGGCTTTGCATCATTCCAACCTAGTTGCTCTCCCAGACCTGGAACCTTGAGTCGTAGCAACTTTTGCGCCACCTGCTTGATGTTCACGGGCGAAGGTGGCCTGGCAGCTGCAGCTGCAACAAGCCTCCCTGCGACCTCTGCCATGCCATCAGAGATCCATCGGTCGAGGGTTCCATCGTCTCTCATCCGTCTATGAACCAGCTCAGGCAAGTGAATCGCGCTGGGCAAAACATGCATGCACTTGAAACCCATGATTACCCCAACTTCAACAGGTTTCGAATGGTTTTCCACATGTTTCAACCATCTTCAACTGTTTTTTCAACTGCACACACGAGTACAGCAATTTCGATGATGCTGACTAGTGCTGACTGATGCTCACACATAGGTTCCAGATGGTTCCAAGTTGTTATTGTTTGTTCAATCCATTGATGCATATTGATGCAAATAGAATCTATATCTACATATATATATATGGTGCCCATAAGTTGGTGTGTAACTCCCTTAACTATAGATATATCTACATATATCTGCCATAAGTCCAGTGGTTAGTTATTGGTACCACCTTAGCTACCTTCGGGGGCACCACCTTGTAGCAATGTGTCACAAGTTTGAAATGGGCGTGTCTGAAATAGTGTAATGTGGGTAAAATAAATAATAAACAATCCCCCAGTCATCACCATAAATAGGCGATATAAACCCCTCCCAAATGGGTGGTCTATTATTCTTTCACCCACGTTGTATCCCCAATTAACGCCATTTACTACCATTTACTAGGGAACATGCTGATAAACTATAGGATTTTGGGGTAGCATATTTTCACACAAAGCCACGTGGTTTTTAGCATGGCATCTGGGTAAAATATAAATTTTCATTGATCTGAATTAAGGCCATTTGGGATAATTTGCCATATATAAACCATCATTCCAGGGTTCGGTCGCGACGTGAGGGCGTTATAATTTACGCAGATTACCCGTGATATGCCATCCATCATATACCCATTATTCCACTGTATCCTCCCATTAATCTTGATTAATCACCATTAATCACTATCTGGTTGGTGGTTTTAACCATCTTGAAAAAATACTAGTCAGTTGGGAAGGGTTATCCCATATATTAATATGATGGAAAATAAAACATGTTTGAAACCACCAACCAGCCATGAACCACTATCAATCACCCTTATGTCACGTCGTTTTCGCCAAGGCTCAACAGAACCAATCTGGCCCTTGAGGCAGCGGCTTTTCCAACGATCGACGTGGCGATGGACGGCGACTGGGCCTGTCATGGAATAACGATGGTTGATTAGGGGAATATAGGGGGTTTCCTTAAAATGGGGCTTCCCAAAATGGATGGTTTATGAGGGAAAATCCATTTAAACATGGAGAAAATGGGGGGGTACCTCCATTTTGGAAACCTCCATACAACATCATATAACTATAGTTAAAGAGGACTATAAACCAACTTAGAGCTGGGCACCACACTTGAAGAACAAAGATTATTATGGCTGGATGGTCTTCCCCACCAGCTGGACCAGATTCCCCAGTCATGGTGGATTTCCCATGGGGAAAATAAAACATCACCGACCAAACAAACCCAGGTATGTGCAAGGTGGTGCAGCCCCAGTTATAATTTGGTTAGACCATACTAGTTATAGATATATTATTGCTATATCTACCATAAACAGCCAGAAACCATAGTTAACCAAGCTATAAGTCAAATATGGCACGTATGGGATCATTTTTTTGAGGCTCCACAAATTGGAGATCTCCCAATAGCTGGATGGTTTAACCGTTTAACTGTTTAACCATCATTCCACTCCCACGCAACGTGTCTGAAGGCCTGTCGCACTGTGAGTCGGAAGGTGGCGTTCTCGGTGGCAACCGCCAGAGCACGAGTGCCGGTGATTAGCAGCACCGACCTGGAAAAACTTCAAGAAATTGATGCCATATTAAGCGGTTAAACAGTATAGAAACTACCATCTGGGTATTTAACATAGCTATGGAAAATCCCTTATAAATGGAGGTTTTAATGGGAAAATCATCTATAAATGGGCAATTTTCCATGGCTATGTTAAATAACCAGAGGGTAGTTAATGGCAACAGCATCAACATTATGAGCCGATTAATCTGGTAAACTAACAGTTTGCGAACTTGAAAATGACCATAGAAATAGTTGATTTACCCATACAAAATGGTGGTGTTCCATACTTATGTTAGTTTCACAAAGGGTATTCAATGGCAACAACATCAACAGTATGAGTCGGCTAATTTAGTTAAGGCCACAAAAAACCTCATTTTCGCTTGATTAACGCATTGAAATATATTATTCAGTGGCCAACCGTTAGCTTTATTGAATTTGATGTGTCCCCAATGTTCAAATCGATCTGCCTTATCCACATACAAGTATCTTAAGATGCAATGAACAATGAGTGTACAGCCCATTTTCAGACAACATCATACTTGTCTGGTTGGTGGTTTCAACCCCCCTGAAAAATATTAGTCAATGGGAAGGATTATCCCATATATTGTGGAAATTATAGGACCGGATAACCCCACATGTTACCAACTTCTCTAGACTTAGACTGAGCATAGAAAAGCAAGAAGGGAAGAGGAAGTATAAGAGTGATGGAGGGGTGATGGTGGGTGAGTTTTTGTGTATGTGTGTATGTATGCGCATGCACAGGTGAGTGAATGAGTAAGTGAGTGAGTGAGTGAGTGAGTGAGTGAGTGGGTGAGT